TTAGTCTGGGCCAACTCTGCACACTCTCCATATTGTCAAAGAACAAGGCCCACACGAGAGTCGCAACTGCTTGGCTAGAAGCAGGATCTTGTAAGCACAAAGCATATAGAGGCACTGAGTACAGTGAGTCAGCTAAGTCCAACCAACTCTGGACATTAACCAGGGGCAATGGAAGTTAACAGTATAAAAAATACAGAAATAAGACCAAAGTCCAGCAGCCAAGCTTGCTGCCCAAAGTGCCCCATTTTCCTTACCGAAAAAAAAGTCTCTCCTGCATTCTCAACCTCAGACAGGCTGCAACTAACCCTCAGGTGTTCTTGGTTCCCTGCTTATCTCTGTCATGACCTCATTTCTTCTGTAATGTGTCCTGTGTGCCTTACCATTGGGCTGTGCCTCATGAGTCCATTCTTGTTCTTCACAAATATATTTGTTGAGCAACTCAATTTACATACGAAAACCATTAACAACAATCGAAGGGACACTGAAGACAGCCACAGTATATGAGAGAGCTGTTTTTCATGGGGATGTGGCATTTCCTCAAACTCATACTTCAATAGTTTCTTGGTCCTGAAAGGTGATTTGCTGGTCTTGGAATACACCACCATACCCGCACACCTTCCTCCTGCCCCTCTGTCTGAATCTTCACATCAAGTTTCCTGTGAGAGAGATCTTTCTAGATTGGTACTAGAGCTACTTCTATGCAAGAGACCTTTCTACTAACCCTTGCCAGCAGGCCTAACTATTTCTCCGACCTGATTCCTCTGCCACAGTCTTTGTCACATGGTTTAAGTCTGGGTTTACATATTGATGTCCATAATCAGAATGCAGTTTCCAGACACAGGATGCTGTACTGATTTTCTTTTAGGTAAGTTACCAGTCTGAAAGCTGAACAGAAAGGAGCTGGACTAAACACTTACTTCACCTAGTAAGATGTCAGTGCAGTTCTATTATCTGACACATTTAAAAAATGATTTAATACTTTTTGATTTTTTTTTAAAATTAGAGCAAATAAAGTTCAATAAACACTTGGTCTAAAAGCTTAATCTTAAGCCCACATTTCCATAGTTTTGGGGATTCCAAGGAACCCTTTGCTTCAGGGGTCATCCTCAAGTAGCTAGCTAGCCCTTCATATCTCCAATGAGAGGCTACCTTTGAAATATTACACATATGCATATATAATATATTAATTATGCATGTGTGGTTTACAAAATTCAAATTCAAAAGGTACAGATCTACTTTGATTTCTCTCTCTCTCTCTCTCTCTCTCTCTCTCTCTCTCACACACACACACACACATCTTAGAAATGCATTTCTCTCAGAGGCAAGAAGTTTCTTCTTACTCTTTCTAGAGATAATTCATACATATTAGTAAATATATATGCATGCATATTTACTGCTGCTATTTTCAGAAAATAGCATTCTACACATACTGTTCCACACCTTGCTTTCCACTTAAAAATAAACAACAAGGGCAGTTTTGTGTTAATACAAAGCCTTCCCCAATTTTCTGGGTGCCCCAAGGATCTGGTAGGTGAATGTGGCCAGGCCCTTACTAAAGGGAGGTTTAGGGTGTTTACCGTATTTTGAGATTACAAATAATGCTGCAATGAATTAATGCCAACTACTGCCTTTTTTAATATTACTTATGGTATGGTAAGTAATCTTTCTAGCCATCTTAGCTCTTATCTTGTACTTATTGTAATACCTCCTCCTTGGCCTCTACAATCAGTGTACCTCTTAAGCAATGCTGATTTTCTCCCTTTTAAGCACTTATATAAGGGAGCTTATGGGCAGGTAGCTCTCTGAGTCTTTTACATCAACCCATCTTATTCATACAATGGCTTATGAGGAAGTTTTGATATGAAAGGCACAGAGACAAGTCATATTCCAATTAATACGTGTAATAAGCTGGGGCTGAACGTGGGGTGTGGACCTCATTTTAAATGCTGAATGTGGTCAAGGGCTACACATTGGACATTGAAGGTCCAGAGTTCCTGCCCCTAACCTTCATGACACACTAAGCCACGACAGGGGACTTACTATTTCCCTTAGTTTCCATACTAATTTCAACCAGCAAAGCCCTAGTCAATGGAGGGGAGTTAGCAGACCAGGACTGGTGTCAGGTCACACCACTCAGGCTGCTAATTGTTCCAAGCCTCAGTGCTTCATCTACAAGCTAAGGATATGACAATGGTGACAATGCCTAAATCACAGAACTGTTCTGAAAATTAACTCCAAAAATGTCCTACTTAGGGCCTGGTGCAAAGGTAGTCTCCACCGTGTATTACCATCTTCCTTACTCACTTCTGATGGCTCATGGCTGTATGCTGCACACTAACTATATTTCAAGAATATATCATATACACTGATTACTATATTTTATACTAATTACATCTCAAGAAAATGCATTATCTTAATTCAATCCTAGACTGCTTATTCAGTTGTGTCCTTGTCTCAGCACTTAAAGCATGAGGCAGAGAAGACACAAACATGGCCAGGAAAGGAAAAGTGTTGAAGAAATGCTGACTGGGTTCAGGCATTTGAGAAAGCTTACCTTCTATCAACCTTAAACCAACATGGTAACCTACCAGGTGCTTCTTTCTTATTCTTACTTCCCAGGCAAATGGAGACCATTAGATAGTTAGTAAATTATCCAAAACACAACAGTGAATCCATGTTCCCCATACTGCAGTCTCTGCTGTTACACTACATGCTGTTTTAAGGATTAATGGTAACTAAAATCATTTGGCATCTTTTATCCAAATCTTCTCCACTCTTTAAAACATAATGAAGGTACTTTGCCAATAGCAATTAACACTAATTTATAATAAATCAGACTTTCCTGTCCCAGCCCCCTCCAGGTAAATCTGTCTACTGGCATGGCCCCAAGGATTAAAACTGTAGCCAGTATGGGCGAGCTATCCAGCTTCTTCAAAGAAGACAAGGAATCAGAACTCCAAAACATTCTATGTCTTGCTGCATAGCAAGATCGCCACATATATAATCAGTTTCCCATCTAATGCTGTAGTACTTTCATTAAAACAAAAGCTTGTTAAAATTTAAGCCAGGGCCTGGTGTGGTTATGAGATATGATGTCCATCTAATATGAGTCAGAAGAAAGTTTAAAACAATATGCTTTGTGAATTTCAGTAATGTTAGAACACCCCTGTGCACAGGCCATTTCAGCAGCTAATGGGATCACGCAGGAACTCTGTTCTCTGCACCTTCATAATTCTTTCCTTTATTTTTACATTCAGATTATTGCAGTAATTTCCACCTTATTATTTTTTGCATGGAGAGTTTTCTTTGCGAGTTCATTAGTACTATAGCTCGGGCTTTGGGGGATGCAGCTGCCATTAATTTTGTTTTTGTTTGCTAATGGGAAAATCGTAATTGGAAATTTCTAGCAAGATGTGCGGATGTACCTATTAAAGAAGCTGTTGGGTTTTATTACAGTTTTAGTAAAAGAATGATTGACTGGCATCTAACATTTTCCTAACAAATTGATATATAGATCATTCCTTTATAGAAGCAATAATAAAAATGTTACAATGTGTTAAATCTGTTCTTTTAGGAAAACCTACAATGCTCTTCTTGCTCCCTCTCTGTATGCTTCTCTACTCCCTCCCTGCCCAAGAAAAAGTGCATGTTATCAGCAAGCAGAGCCTATGGAATCAGCAAAGAAGAAATACGGAATGAGTCTTGAAACCAGGATTTGAAGTACCATCACTTCTATGCCAGTAGAATTTAACAGCATGTGTTTTGAGGACCTGCTTTATTTTACAGCGGCATTTCAGTACTTTAGGTATTCATCACTGCTGCATCTGGAGTTAAAATCCTTATAGTTCTGGCCTGTGGAGCATTTCTGGGGAAACAGGTAGTAGGCTGGTATTTACTCACTGCAGGATGTGTGTCCACAATACCAAAAGCCCTCTACAACTATCAGAATGACTAGTACTTCCTGACACAGATACAGATTATATTGGCATTTCACTAACTGTCCCTAATAGTTTAAGTTTAAAAATGCTTTAATGAGACAATACCAAGCTCATAGTGTCTGAACTGATAGCAGTCCCAGATCAAGGGCAGGAGTTTCAGGTCCTTGCCTAATCCTTCTGTTTCCCTCTTCGTTCTGCTGTTCTGCTTGGACGGCTTCCTGAAAGAGCCTTGTGAAGGGTTTAAGAGAATGAAAGTCCCAGTGGAAACATTTGCTATTTTCCGCTTACTTCTGGGAATAAGCCTGGTTTCTAGTAATTTGATCAAGAAAAATACCTTGCTAATCTATTTCTCTAAAGTTAGTAGGGAAAATTGTAGTTGGCCTTTATAACTACATTATGTCTAAGTCATGTCCTTGATAGACATGGCAGATCTCATTGACCAGCAACATAACCCAATGAATGATGGTTTGGTGCCAGCTAAACAGGCAACAGGACTTTCCTACAGCTTACCTAATCATTATGGTTTGTAACTATTAAAGTAGTTTGGTCATTCTTTCCATCACCTTCTACAGCAAAGTAAAATAAAGAATTGGCTTAATTATCCTGATAATTCAGGCAAAAATATATAATATTTCTTCCTTGTATTAATGTTGGTTCCTTTCCTATATATGAAAGAAAATTCCATTATGTTGGTAATGCTTGGCTGACTCTCAAAGCTTCGGCTTTTCATATATTTTGTAGCAGGAAATAGAAGTTATTAAATGCACCATTTTCTCTGGTGTATTCTTTACTAACAAAAGAAGTAGATTTTTCTTAAAAATTTTATCAATTAATATGAACTGGAGATTGTATTTTTTTGCAAACCCGATAGGAAATATGCCTTATTATCTAACACTTAAAGGCTTGTTAAAATTTAATTTCAGGGCTCAAGAAAACGATGCCTTGAAATTACATAGATTGAAGCATTATCTGGTGGCAAGGTTACAAGAAAAGCCTATCACAAAGGTGAATCAGTAATACAGTTGAAATGATTTGTTGACATGGATGACAATTTCCATTTACCATTTAATTCTGCTCTGTGGTTTAGATGTTTGCTCCTATTAAGTGCCTTGACCTTTTCCTTGAAAGAGATACATTTTCCGCAGTTTAGAAAGAATCCGGATTATGGAAGCAGCCTTTTCCTAACAGAGAATATGCAGTTTGTAATTAAATAAAAGTCATGGCCCATATGCAAAACACTTCATAAGAATGTACTTACCTTGCATGTGAGGTTTGTTTGTTGAAAGTAGAAATCAATATATTATTGTAGACCATAAAATATGCAGAACCCAGTTAATAGACTCTTATCTTCACAGTTCATTATCAAGGTCTCCACAGCAATGGCTAAAAGTATGCTACATGCTGTCCAATTCTGCAGCATAGCTTTCAGTTTTTTCTCCTTTCATTTTTAGATGAAAGGGTGTTTTCACTTTGAATCCATGAGCATATAAATTAAGTCTAAATAAAAGCCAAATGTGTTCTCTGGTTTCAAATCTCAGATTTGGATGAATAAATGCATATTAAAGAAAATTTGAATTCCTCCAAAGTTTCATCTAAGAATCTGCTGAATGACGTACTATTTTTCTTTAATATTTACGTGGCACAGGTATTATTACAATCACCATGCTGCATTTGAGACAACTGAGGTTCATGGAGGTAAAAGGTTTTTCCTAAAGTCTCTAACAGTGTGTATTGGGCAGGTAAGCTGGGACTTCGATCTTTATTTGCATAACTCAGACTTCCTGCTTTTGGCTCTGAGTTCCAGGAAACACTTAAAAGTCTCCCTTCCTTTCCTTTTTAGAGAAAGAGAGGTGTTGGCTTAAGAAAAGGATATTGTAAGTAGTATGTGGTAATTCTACACAATAAACAATTAAAATCTGAAGGGATGATCCAAAGGCAGCAGAAAGGTTGCCCGTATGACCTACGAAGCATCCTTGACCCATGCTCTTCAGCATGAAAAATGGCAGCACCTGTAGGTCTTGATTCTGGAGTAGCACTTTGTTTGCATTGACTGTAGGCAAAGAAACAAAATCCAAGTCATCTTTGTCACTACTGTTTTAAAATAGATATAATGGGGATTTGGGGTTTTGTTTGTGCCTCACTGGCCAGTTTATAAGGGTTGTTGATGGCAATGACACCTTTCTACATTGGCAATGAGACAAGAAAAGGCTACCTTCACAATCTGACATCCTCCTCACACCTTCTGTTAGAATAAGGCATGATAGCTGTTAGTAAACAAAAGTCAGTCCCTATATGGAAACATGCTGTAGAGTTTTCTTAAACAGAGGAAATTCCTGGGGCCAATTTCCAAGTTCTGAGCTGAAACAAGGTAGACAAATTATATAAATCTTAGGTTTCAACAAACGAGTGATCGTCAGACTTCCAACATGTTGTAGGTATAAAGCTTATTACTTACTACAGCAATATCACTGATGTAGACCTTCACATGGTTCATTTGGCACATTTCTGTTGGGCATGTCTTCTGTGTCTAGCACAAGACACTATATTCCAAGTCATGAACATTTTCTGTAACCTATTACTCTGAAATATATCAATGTTTCACACTTGTGTAGTACATATGGGTTGGTTAAGGAGACCAAGGCTTATGATTCTCCATCACAGCCTACCCAACAAATAAGGCCTACTCATCTGTCCACCTCATCCTATAGATAAAAGAACAGGATATGGCTATCAATGAATGTAAGCTGTAAGTTGTACCCTGAGAATTTCTTCCAGTGAGACAATGGGCAGTTCTGAACCATTTTGTGGCAGTCTTTCCCTAGCATGGACCTTGAGAACCAGGAACCAACTTCTAAGGCAATGCAGGTCCTCTGCATGGCACAGCACCTGGTACAGAGCAGGCTACTCAATGGCTGCTACCACATACTGGCAACACAGAAGTTCTAACTTGGAAGTTCTAACTTAACAGAATGGCTTTCAAGAGCAAATAGTTTTCTTGGCATAAAGCCAGCTGGCCCTCCAGGGATTAAACCTCAGTCTTGCTCTCATCTAAATACTCATCTGAAAAAGTGCTCAAATGACAAAATGACATAAAATGCACCAATAATGACCTATGCCAGCATCTCTCCTCTCAAGAGTCTAATGCAAGTTGTATTAATGTGATACAGACGTTAAGGTCAAGGGGTCAAATATTTATTTACCTTTTATTCTGGTTCCTGTCTATTCAGAATAAAATGAACTACACTGATTAACCATGTGACATAGATCTTTGTAATGTGCATACATTATATGAATTCTCATACATGCTTGTTTACAGACCTTTAAAGACATATAGCATTCTCATAAAAAGGACATTTTCATTCCCAAGTGCATGCTAAGCACTGATCTTTTTAAAAAAAATACTTTCTCCATTTGCAAGTATGTTTTCAAAAGTTTGTCAAGAGAAGTTATGTGAAAACTCAACCACTTTTATAAGCCCTCGGGACTCAATTTGTTACTCCATTCATTGGACATAGCTCTTGCTTTGGATGAGCAATTTCTCCTCCTGCTACAATATTTCATGGATTTTACAACTGAATTAATTAAAATATAAATAAGAAAATATGTCATAGAGGTTAAAATTGGTTATTACTACTGCCTACAAAAACGAAATTCTTAATTACTTTTCTGAGGCATAGGGATATTGAGAAAATTTAATATATTGATAAAAATTAATTGTGAATATTAGGAATTTTGCCTTAAGAAAGTAATTAAGAATGAGTAAAGAAAAATAGTTCTACTGAAAACAAGTTTGTTTATTTTAAGAGATGTTGAAAGAATGGAGGGGGGGCAGTCTCCGTAGCCCAACATCAATTCTAATAACAAACTCATTTCTATTTTGTAAACTATTTGGCTTTCCAATTTGAAAATACTAAATCACCAACACAAATCATAGCTCTCTGATGAAAATTACTCAAAAATTATTTTCTATTATGGGGACTAGCACAAGATATCTCACAAAAGAAGTGAACATTAGTTTGAATGATCACACGGACTGAGAACATAGAGACTTTCTAGATAATTCAATTTCCTTCCTATTGTTCTCTCACTGGGATAATTTTAAGTGAATTTTTATTGTTATTTAAGTGCATAGTTTCCTTTAAATATTACTTCAAAAACTGGGAACTTATGTATTACGTACTTTAGTTGAAAAGGTCAGAAAAATTTTAGTGCATGCTAACAATATAAGACCTAAGCAAAAGTGTGCTTTCAAGATGCAAATGATTACATGCACACAGACACACATGTTCTAGGCTTCACAAGCAATGCAAAATAGACTTAGAAAATGTACTTGTGATTTAGAAGCTTGCAAACTGGATGAAATGCGGAATCTTTGTGCCACTGAAACCGTGAGGTAATTCTACTGTGCATATTTAAGGTTAAACTCATTCTGGGGTTTCCATGACACAGCTGAAAGAAAAAGTGTTTGGAAAGAAAGACAAGAAGATAAAGAACTGGGCAATCAGATCTGTGCAAATGAGCTGGAAACTCATCCAGTGTACATCTTAGGGAACAGTCTGAGAAGTTGCTTAGTAGTTTGTAAGTGTAACAGGCTTAGCATACAGGTCGGCAGATCTCAAAGGGCATTCTCCCAACCAGCAGCACCAACATCTTCTGGGTACTTAGGACAAATGCAAATTCCCAGACTCCAGTTTGGATCTATGGAATCTGAAATGCTAAAGTTGGGACACATCTGTGCTGTTAATAATGCCTCCAGAAAATACATTCTGAAATTTAAAAATCAGCAGTTAAAGTTACAGAGACCCATGAAAACGACTAAATGGAATGGGCAGAGAATTATTCTTTAAGAAGACTAGAGTTTAAGTGGATAGACTATTCTATGAGACAGGCTTTGAGATCACTGGAACAGAGGGCTAAGAGAATGCTCATGGTAAATAGCTTCCTAGGAGCCTTCCAAGGAGCATTCAACCAAGGTATTCCTGTTCACAGGGGCTCAATAACAGCAGTCTGGCCTGTAAACGAGTGCAAGGTGGGAACTTTTCAGACTACAATTCAGGGCTACTCTGGACATTTTCTGGAAGCTTTCTGTTATATATTTTATCTAGTAAAGGACAATGGTTTCAAGATGTAATGCGTACTCACACGATACATAGACATCAATTAAGAAACGCAGCACTATTTCCCCCATTTCCATTTACAAACACTATGAACAGCTTTGGAGGACTACTATACTATTTGCCTAAACAACGAGAAGGGGCGCTTGATGGCTGAACATAAAGGATAAAAAAGTCAAAGTAATTAATATTTCACTTATTTTCTTAAGTGGGAAATGAACCTAGGAATGACACGCTAAATAGAGTTTGCAATAACACAGACCCACTGCAGACTTCTGTCAAATTAGCCTGGTAGTGATACAGTTTACAGTGATCTTAGTTGATGAGTCTCTTTTAAAAGTACCTAGAGGTTATAAACGTGAAAATGCATTAAAAATATTCAAATGTATGACTGACTCAGAAAATTATTCTTTCCCCACTTGTTTCAATAAAAATGGATCACAGATTACTTGCCCTTACCTTAGCTGAGAACTAAAATCACATGAATGCTGCTTCCTCTCTTTTTTTATGAGAAGTTAAATGTCACTTCCAAAAGTAGTTGAATATTTTCCAAAGTCAAATTCTTACATATGCAGGAATACAGGATTCTTTGGAAACGTTTTATTTTAAAAGCTATGCATTACACATCTAGTTTCCCTCTTTATCTCTTCATACATATTTGTTAATCACTTGTAAAAAGAGTACAAAATGTACAAAATCTATTTAGCAGCCCATTGAAATTAGTTGAATCTTGTTTTATTTGCTTTTTGTTTTGTGAGACAGGGTCTTGATGTAGCCACAGCTGACCTGGAACTCACTATGCAGACCAGGCTGGCATCAAACTCACAGCATGCCTCTGCCTCTAGAGTACTGGGATAAAAGGTGTGTCACCATGCCCGGCTTAGTTGAAATTTTAAATTTTTGGGGAGATCAGTATTGATTTACTTCCTATACAAATCAATGCTATAAAATTACCAAGTATAAATCTCCAAAGAGGCAGGAATTTTGTTTAAAACAAAAATTTTCATTTGTTTTTTTAAGAAGCATACTAGAATTAAAATTTATTGTCAATTTGAGCACAACACACT